AAAAAAAACATGCCCCCGGCCTTGAAAGGGCTAGCTTTCAACATAAATTCAAGGTCTTGTTATACGGTGGGTCCAACCATTTGTAGATCGTTTAGAGAATGGCCGAATGTAGTACGCATGAACCCATTCAAGACCACTCAAAGCTTTGTCATAAGGCTATCTTCCTTGAAAACACCATGATGAGGAAGATAATAGGAGGTCCTAGAGGTAGTAGGAGAAGAGACGGTCATGTGTCTTCTCACTCAGTCTTCATACTCTTTCATGAACTGACAATAGGTTTCTATAAAGTTTGCGTTAGAGTGAAGCCTCCTTTCAATGGCAAAGAAACGCTTACCAGCGATTTCTAATGAATCACCCAGCAGCTCGACGGACGACTTGAATGGGATTAAAACGATAAATCTTCCAGTTTTCGGCGAGTGTTTTTAGACGAAGTGGGCTTCGCTAGCCTGTTCATTCTCGGTGGGGCCTTTTCTGTTGGATAATGTTCGAGCTCCCAAAAGCGCAAAAGTTGGTCAGGGACGTTATTTACCTTACCGAAATGACAGGCACTTTGCGGTGCGATTCGAAGCCAATTGGTCCAGCCACCACCAAACCGAAGCGAGTCTTTTGGAGGGTAGGGAGGTTGGGACCTAGGCGAATTTGCCCAACACAGAGTAAATCGAAAAAGAACTGGGCACCCATCAATATCGGAAAGATGATTGAACATTGAGGCTGATAAGTGGATATTGTCTGGAAGTCTTAGCTTTTGCTTGTCCACGCGGGCTCCAGTTAGGTGCCTGTCATTTCATTAAGAATAAAACAGGACAATCTTTTTGCGAATGAAGAAGTATGTGCATGTAATTATACATCACATTTGGAGTTGATGTTGTTAGTGGCCTTGGTTCGCTCGGAAATTGATATCTTGACAGGTTTAACAAGTAAATTCAGGATTTTGCATAAATTAGAACGTATTCGAACGAAGTTCGATAGCGATCCTGAATCGAGCAGACTTACTGAATGAAAGTTACCGCAAGAATCACGGATCTTGGCAGAAGCAGTGGGTAGTAAAACTTGCGAGATGCTGGCTGAAAAAACAGAAATAGATTGAGTTGAAATCTCATGAGAATCTAGAGATGGAGAACTAGATGGGCCTTGACATATACTCATGGCCAACGGATCAGAAAGGACAAAACGATACTTACAAACAACAGAACAAATTACACTAAGACTAATAACACGAATAAGACACCCCCTAAACCCCCTGCACAACCCTTCCAACCAACTACTATACAAACGCACAAACATGACCAAAATTTCGGAAAGACTAATACACTTACAGACAAAATGGACAAACAACCCCCACAACTGGACCATACTGAATCCTCTTTGCCTAACAAGACAGGTAAAACATTCCCATTTTCATACCCCAACAGATACTTCACTAGAACACCTACAAACGCAACTGAACTAACGACTAAGACCTGTTTATTTTGTAAGCTAGGATTTTGTTTTTAATCACTGATTAGTTTATACCAGTGTTTTACATTCAATTGACTTATTTTTATGTTAACATTGGAATTTGCCTTCGGCGGAATCCAGTCAGTAGTTTCTATGGGAACGGATGCTTTGTTGGCAGGTTCTATTGGGAACTCGGTACTTACATGTATTTTATTTCGATATTACTTACTTATACCGATTATTCTGAAAATCAGACATATATGAAAACAATCCCTCTCAAATATAAAGTGGTCCCTTAGAATCGAAATAATTATTTCCATCTGATGGGAGTGATTTCTGCATCACCCGCATTCTTGCAGTAGAATATTACCTTTCAAAGAGGTTACTCTAGTATGTAAATATCCCAGAAAGTACTTTTGAGTTCTATTATAAAATAATTGTTGTAGGTATTCCATATGCTCTTCATCAAGCCGGATTTGGCTTCGGGGTACTCCTTTTGGTGCTAGTCGCCTACATTACAGACTACTCACTAATTCTAATGATTAAAGCGGGGCATATTAGTGGAAGATTTTCTTACCAAGGTATAATGGAAGCTGCGTTTGGCAGAGCTGGATATATTTTGCTCGGAATTCTACAATTTGTTTATCCATTTATAGGTATTTATTTACCAATTTGTAACTACGCTTTATATTAAATTATACTTTATATATATCTGTTTTTGTCTATTTCAGCCATGGTTTCATACAACGTAGTTGTCGGAGACACTGTAACGAAAGTGATAATAAGACTGACTGACATAGAACCAGATAACATTTTTGCGAAAAGGGAAATTATAGTTTTGATAGCCACCATCTTTATTACCGTACCCCTCAGCCTCTATAGAGACATTGCCAAATTGGCAAAAATATCTTTCTTCAGTTTAGTATGCATTGGATTTATTTTGTTATCTATTCTACTGAGGATACGAACAATAAGCAAAATTGTGTAAGTTCAGATTTATATTTCTTTAAGTTCAAATATGTACAGGGTGATTCAAAATGGGCGTCATTTCGCTGGAGGTTTTCTCCGGGGGTGTTTTGGGAGTAAAGAAATATTAGCTTAAAAAATTGAGTGCTATTAAAACCAGAGATTTAATAAAAAAACCAAATTGAACAACAATTTGGACCAGTATTCGGAAGATTAGATATTTAATGTGTCCTAGTGTCTTTTGTATCTCACATACATGGTAGGAATATCGCCCATCCTCGGGTGAGTTATCAGGATAATTAACTGTCAGGAAAAATTCGAGCCTGGAAAAATGTCGTTGTGCAATGCTTCTGGAAGGCTCTGCTGCAATTATCTCAAATACCTGTTCCTCTAGCTCTGGAAACCGAGGATTTCAAGATCGTCTACTATCTGCGTCAATTCTTGGAGCCAGTCGTCCAGTGTCTCTAGCCCTTTGCTGGTGTTGTGATATGTGGGAGTCTGTGGAAGTGATATATACGCTTCCCATAATTTCCATGTCAATTGTTCACGATCTGTCACGACATTCCATGCCAGTTTCCTCAATTGTACCTATGTATAGAAAATTCTCATTACAACCAGGCGTTTCTTGAACAACCTCGTTGACATCAAACTTAACGTACCTTTTATTTTTTCTAGTATATTTCATTTCCGTTCCAGTGTCTCTTGAGTCTCGTTCATCCTGCCTGTCGCGGTTGTCGGCCATGTTCTTTTTACAACATCCTGCAGCAAAATGGTTGACCCTATTACATATTTTACGCTTCTTTCCAAATGCCGGACATTTCCCATGCTGATGCTTGTAGACACATTTTCTGCATTGATTCCACTTGCTCGTTCCGGTAATAGCAGCTACTAATCTTTCTTGGTGATGTTCTCTATTCAATTCTGCAATTTCTCTGCAACGCTCTTTACTACGTGCTTATACACATTTTGCTTGCTACATCATTATGAAGCAGTTTTTCTTTGTGTAGAAGTGCAGAGTCTTACAGCTTCTGCTGTGTTTTTTTTTGTGAAGTTTGGGAAATGCTCTTTTATGCACTCCCAGAGCTGGTGGTCTGTCGCTCTTTGTTTTGTGTCGGACTCCAGCTAAGTTGTTTACCAACTAAAACCCTTTCCTTACAGCCGAGATGGTGTTTGGCCTTGCACCGCAGTCATTTCTGCCCTATTGTGCCCTCGTATTTTACTCCCTCATTATCCCTGTGTATTCAATGAATTCTAGAAGAATCTTAGGGGGGAGGTACGACACATGACCTGGTCTGGTAGTCATCCCTGGCTGCAGCTCGTCGATTTTCCCAAGCAGGTGCCTATTTATGAGTTCTCCTTGCTGAGGAGAAAAGTTCTTCTCGGGATATCCGCCCGCCGCTATGGCCATCTTAATCCCGCAAACCGGAACCTTGCAAGACATGTGTCTAGTTCCTTCCTATAAGTTCCCACATATAGCCGTCCAGGTGCTGGCTTGTTGGGTGTACTAAGAGATCGGTTGCGACAAGAATAGAAGAACACGGACGGAATTGTAAACTGGGACATGTGTAAAAGTCGGCAGTGGCGAAACATGCCCTCAGCGATGGAACACACAACATCTATTTCGGAGAGGCACAGGTCCTGGCCACAACAACAGGGTATCGCCCCCGACTAATACGAGAAGCCATTGAAATCCACAAACACGACGTCAATTTCAACAAAAAATAAGAGACAATGGCGTTAAGCAGGATATGGTTTCCAGGAGGAATCGCATCGGAACAGTGTAAGCGTTCAAGCAAACCACTTCTGAAGATCCAAGCCACCCGTGCGTGCAAAACGTCAGGAAGAAATTCTACCGAACGACGGCCTGAAAACCCGAAAAACCCATTAGTGTCATAGCAGCAGCCTGTTTTTACGGACGAAACTCCTACCTAAGCCTAACAGGACCAACTCAAGATCATAGTTTATCAGCTGCAAAACCACTGCCACATCCTGCTTGAACTTGAAATGTTACGTTAAAGTGAAAGCATATTGTTCGTTTTTGCAAGTGTCAGTTATTTTCATCGTCTATTAGTTTGTTTTTGGTCCACGTCCCACTCGAGAAAAATTGCCTCTAGGCAAGATATTTCTCTGTGTTTCAAGTTAGGTGCCTTTTGGAAATTTGGTTCATGACATTATCTACAAAGCGCCTCGTCTGACTGCTGATATTGCAAATGTCATTCACAAAATTGCGAAGCAACAAACTTTCTTAACAATCGTAATATTTTCTCTCTTGTTTATCCCTTAAAATAATTCTCCTATACTGTATGTTTTGCTCTACAATCAAAAGCAAAATAGGACTACTAAATAGTTTATGAGGATGTCCCCTTTTTAAATGGGTGAAATTGTGCAGTTGTATTGAATGTTTCCTGTAAGCAAAACTTTTCCATTTTCAGACCTGATCATCCAGATTCATGGAGATTTTTTAATAGTGATATAATACCAGCTGTAGGAATCATGGCATTTGGTAAGTGTATTAGAAATAATTTGTTATTTTTTTAACTTGTTAATTTTTAACCATTCCGTTAAATGTTATAACGAAAAATATGCAATATAATGATGAATGATCAATATCTCAATGAGATTATAATTTCGTTTTTCTATCAAAAATTGAACCAAAATTTTCGTTTATTAAAATCAGCCTGTGAGACAAAATTTGATCTTTGGGAGAACTCGACGAAACCATGGTGTTGGTTTTAATAGAATAATTACTTAGATTGCAGTGCTATGTTAATCTAAATTTGTCCAAGCGCTATATACCCATTTTCTATAATCAAACGGCGAAACATTTTAAATTATATAAGAATCCGCATGTTCAGAGTGATTCGTTAACAATGGGTAATTTAGAAACTCGATATTGGACAAGTCAAATGGTGGCCATTGGCGAAAGTATTCCTTATCCGAAAGTTGATGTTTTCGGAAATACATGGTGTTGATACTCGTAAACATCGCTAGCGCAACGCCAATATTAACTTCACCAGTCTTTCATACTCTAGTCCGTGCACATGACCTCGAACATACAGCCGTGATGTCGTTGTCTGCGCTAATTACTGTTTCCAAGCTTTTGTACCCCGAGTTCTAGTAGGCTTCGAAGTGGTTGCCTTCCTGCTGAAAAAACTATGGCTTGCGTCTTCTCCTGGGTGAATTCCATTTTCCAATCCCTTGTGGATCTTGACGAGATGTCTTCGAAGTTTGGCTGCCATTCCAGAACCTTTTCCAATCACATGAGTGCTTCATAGTCTGCCATATAGATGTTGAATACAACGGTCCCAACACGAACCCCTGCGGTACTCCTGACATCATTGTTTTGATCATTGACATCTGATCATCGGCTTTGACATGGAAGCTGCGTCCAGACAAGTAGCTGTGGATTAGCTGGAGTAGGTGCGCAGGAAACTCTGCCTTGATTATCATGGTAATTAGGCCCTGATTCCAAAGCTTGTCAAGCGACTTTGTCGTATCCAGACATACGGCTCTAGATTGCGTCGGCGGTTTAACTTCTGCAGGATTCTTGTTGTCAGCCGGGCTGCGAGTGTGTTGGTGCCATGTCTCAGCCTGAATACATGTTGCTTAGCCATCAGCACTTGCTTGTCCTCTATTGTATCCTGTAAGTGGTTCAGGATACACCTGTCCATGACCTTGCTCGGCATAGGCAGTAGATTGATGGGCCTGTAGGCCGTAAGCAGCTTCTTGTTCTTGCCTTTTTTTGGTACTATTACCGTTATTGCCTTCTCCCAGGTAGTCGCGAAATATTGCAGATTCAAAATTCCATTGGCCACTGTGGTAAGGTCCTCAATAGCTGTTTGCGGTAGCTTTTTGAGGACTTCGTTTGTGATTCCATCATGCCCACGGGCCTTTTTTTTGGCCCCCTTGACGATGTCCTGGATGATCTCTTTGGTGACTCTTCTGGCTTTGGTAGGCTGCCAGTTTTGGAGGTGAGCGGCTACCAGCTCACTGACCATCATCTTTTGTTCTGGGTGATCAACCAGGTTTTGCCTGAACTGGAGCTCTAGGTCGGTCGCAAAAAGTTCAGATTTTTCCTTGGGGTCCACGGTGGAAATGTCGTTTTCTTGGATTGGTAGTATTGGCTTCTTTGATCCTGCTGGGAGGCGTCTGGCCAGCTTCTAGACTTCGTCCATGCGATCCTTCCAGAGTTGCAATCGAAGTGTTTTCATGTTTTCCTTGATCGCATTCTGGAGGCGGTTAGCTTGTCTCTTCATGTGTGGATCTTGCGTTCGCATGACTGCGTCTTATTCGATTTTTCTCCCTGATTTTGGCTTTTGACCAGGGAGGAATTTTGTCCATTTGGGCTATCGGAACTACGGATAGACATGTTGAAGCTACCAGGGCGTTGTTAATATCCCTGGTGAGTCTTTCGGCTGCCTGGTCCAGGTGTTCCTTTGTTATGAGATGATCGATTCTGCTGGTGCTTTCTAATGTCCTCTGGAAAGCCTGTCAGTTGGTGATCCTTCTAGTCGCAGGGGAGCTGTTGACGCTATTTTGTCCAATTTGCATGAGAATCGGCAAATGGTCCCAAGACAGTTCCTGTAGTACTTCGGGGCTGGACCGTCTTCCTGCGTTCTTGTACAGGAATATGTCCAGGATGTCATCTCTGCCATTATAGGCGACGTGGTTTGGCTCTACCGGTGCGGCTATCTCAAACATTACATGTCTTTTGATAGCATGATGCCTCTAGAAGTGTTGTCATGGTCATGTCATGTCACCATTGTGTCGTTCCAGGAAGTCCTGGAGCTCTATCTTCTTGCTCTTGACTACATTGCCATTCCAGGACATGACGCACAGAGATTTAGGTCTTGGCAGCCTAAATATGGCTGCTCATCGGTGCAATCGTCAGCGCTTGCATTGTGGCCTTGAACGTCTGCATCTGGGCTTGCAGGCTTGAATGGTTTGCGCCAGTTGTTCATGGCTCGATTTTCCCATCGGTTGACGTTGGGGGTTCTTGCTGGGGCGCAGCAGATTCTTCTATTCTTCTGCCAGCATTTGGTTATGGTTATAGTTACAGCTTCTGAATGTGGTGGGGCGAGTAGGATTGTCCTGCGTGATGCAGGATTTTCTCGCTTTGGCTGTTGTTTGAGTGAGGGCTTTGCTGAGCATCCTGAGTAGAAGGCTGGTTGAGCTCCTCCACAGTTGACGCACTTTGCTGCCTTTTGCCGGGAGATCTGACATTCCCGGAATTCGTGTGCTTCAGTCTTTTTCTCCTGACGCTCGGCGGTTATTTTGGCGGCCGAAAGATTTTCGACCCTGTCTGCCCTGGATTTCCAGAACGCAGTCTGGTCAAGCAACTTGCTGCTCAAGGGCCTCGATCCTTTTGCACACCTCTTTCTGCTCAGGCTACCTAGATCTGCAGAGCAACTAGGAACATGGGAACAATGTTCTGGCTGCAATAACTATAGTGCGGTGCACAAATAATAATCATGTAGCACAGTCACAGATTACAATGGGGCACGTAATACGGTCAAAGCACTTTTTTGCGTTCGAACAGTGTAACTATATGATTGCACGTCACTTGAAAGCAAGTCAGTCACCAAGGGTTGTGGTCGGAGCTAAGAAAGTCGGAGTTTGAAATTGACAAATTAAGAGCGAGATTTTTGGAGATAGCGTATCTACGATATCAGGATTTTGATAGTAAAAGTGGGTGGGTTCATTTGGGGGCGTGGATTTGAAGGTATCTTCCTTTTGGGAGGTTTGTAGGCAGCGATTAGTGGGATTGTAGAGTTTTGCATGTGGAGGTTAATGGCAGTGGATTCGATTATAGAGTTTAAGGGGGGGATTAGGGTGTGAGAAATGGACTTTTTGATAATGATCGCGGTGCCTCCGCCGAGTGTGGGTCTATCTGTGCGGTAAGTCGTGTAGTTGTTAATATAGAATGTGGATTGAGGACATAGTTCATGTTTCTTGGATGAGAGCGATGTCTACATCGTTTTCTTTCAAGTATGCCTCAAACTCGCACTTTTTAGGATGCAACGATGCGGCATTCCATGAAACGATATGGCCACCTGGGGGATTAATGCTACTTTTTAACAAAGCATTTTGAGGATGGGGTTTCTTTTACTAATTTTAGCCTCGATTTCTTCGTCACAAAGAAGCAGGAGTTGCAGGATTTGTGGGTTTAGGGATGACTGCTGGGTTGGTGGAGCTGGCGGGGATTTTGGGGCTGTGGGCGGTTGTGGGGCGGACGTGGTTACGGAGGTTTGCGAGTTGTGGCAGAGTTAGAGGCGTTGGCTGCTATAGCAGCGAAGGATGTGCCTGGTTGGACTTTATTGTTAAACAGGGCTTATTTCGCTTTATCTCTGTTTGTAGGGTGAAGTTAGGGTTTTTGGAACAAGGGAAATAACTTGAAGGGTGCGGCTCTCCACAGTTACTGCATTTGGCAGGAAGGTCGCGGGATTTCTTATAGAAGTGCGGCTCGACACACTTGTGACAAATGGGTTTTGATCCGCAGTTCGATAATGAATGCCCGAATTTTTGGCAATTTTTACATTGTGGAATGAGTTTAAGGTTTCAAGTGTTGTGTGTATTTTTCTTTCTGATTCGATTAGTACCGGGAGGTTTAGGAGTTGCTTTACTTTCTGGAAGTTGGCTTGGGATTGTGGTAAAAATACTTTTGCATGAAACCATATCGTAAACTTTTTTGTAGTTTCCCAGCCGGTAAAAATGGGTGTGTTCAGGATTGAAACACAAGGCTTCGATTTCATTATGGATTTCCTCGATCTCCATATGAGGCCCTTGATGATGAAGGACAGTTTCCTGTCCTTCTGGAGAGTGAAGGTGTAATACTCTATGTTGTTGGATTTCAGGACTTTGGTTATTTGGCGGAGGTCATCTGAGGAATTTGGGAAAGGAAATTCCTGAGTTATGTTTTTGAGTGTTGGTGACTGTTAGATTGTGTTTTAGTACGAAAGTTTTGGTTCAGTCTGCGGGATTTTTTAAGGTTATGGGGACGGTACTGGCTTTAGTGTTGGGATTGGTGGGGTTGGGTGAGGGAGACTTGGGTAGTTGAGGCTTGGGGGGTTTGGGTTTTGGACTTTTCTGCCCTTAGGTGATTGTGGAGCGCTTTGTTGGTGGTTTTGAGAAGGTTTCAAGGCGTTGCGATTGGTGTTAGAAAGGGGAAACTTGGTTTCAAAGGAGGGAAATTGGAACCAATGAACCTGAACCTGAACCAAAGCTTCTGGTTCAGGATTAGGTTTGGGAAGTTATTGAGGGGCAGATTGGGAAATTTCCGGGCTTTCTGGGTGATATTGGGACATATGGATTTTGAAGTGGCTGAGGATTTCGTTCAGCTTGTCGCTGAGCTTTTTATTTTGGGTTTTATCGTTGGAGAGTGTTTTCTTCAGGGCTTGGTTTTTCTTGCGGAGGGAATACAGAGGCGGGTGGAGTTTGGGGAGGCTTTCATGTGAAATTTAAAAGGGTAAAATTGAGTGCAGAGCCGCTTACCTGAGGACTGGGTGGCTCGGACATCTCCGGCCTTCGTGCACTTCTCACTTTCAGTGTTCAGTGGTCACTTTTGACACTTTCTTATATGGCAGATGTAATGTGCTTTTTAACAAAAAGCTTTTTCAAAGAAAAACATTTTTCAAGATTAGCTCAAAAATGCATTTATAAAGCTGTTATATAAAAAATGCGACTCCGGGAATATGGAGAATTATGGACCATTAAACATTTTACCAGAGTTTTCTAAACTCTTCGTACTGAAGTACTTCGTAAATGAATAAACATGCATCAACAAATTAATTATAAACGGAAGCAAAATATATAAATATAATTGAAATATTTTCCAATTCCAGCGTCGCTATTTGAATTCTCTTTTTATCTCATGCAGCTGTTGTTAACTAATTCATATATTTACTTATTTTCAGCTTTCATGTGCCATCATAATACATTCTTAATATACAGTTCTATAGCAGATACTTCACAGAAGAAATGGGAAACTGTCACTCATGCCTCAATATTAACCAGTCTGATTGTATCTTGTATCTTCGGCATTGCCGGATATGCAACCTTTAAGGCATATTGTCAAGGTAAGAAATTAAATAATAACATAACTCAGTGTAAATCGGCGAATTTTTAAACGATTTATTCTTCGTTTCCTACATACAGGGTGATTCAAAATTGGCGTCATTCCTCTGGAGGTGTTGTCTGGCGCTGTTATAGGAGTACAGAAAAAATAGTAAAAGAAATTAATTGTTACTAAAAACTGAGATATTTGCAATAAACTATATCAGAAATACGGCAGCAATGTTTTTCAAGGTAATCTGCCTAATTAACATTGCGCAAATACCTGTTGCTCCGTAATTATTTAAAACTCCGGTAACCATGGAATTATACAGAGTGACAATAAGATAGACAAAGATAAACGATCAACTCAACAGGAATCGTTGAATGACGGAACGAACTTTCGAAATGTCAACCTATTCTCATAACCTCTCTAAATTGGAGTTTATAAATAACCCATACAGCACCAAACATTTGAATGGTTAACTCCAAACAAGCTAGTGCCTGTGTAATCTCCTTATTATCCACTCTTATTAAGCAGCTTTTCGTAATTCAGTTAATTAACTTCTGCTCCATTTGTATCTCTCTGTACTGTGTGTATTGTACAAGCGTGGTAGGAATGTCGCCCTTCCTCGGTATTTGTTGTTAATTAACCACGCGATGTTAATTAAGCCGGCGCTAAATGAAACAACATTCTGAAGGAATGCTGTTCCTCCTCCTTTTCTTCTCCCATATTTTGAGCTACACCAAGTTACTCAGAACGTCCTGTTCATGGACCAGACCCTAAAACGCTACGCCTGCCGCGGGCCTCAACCACAGGTATACGCCGATCAAATAATCGATTAAGGATGAAAACTATCAGCACCAACCACCCCCACTGAAATTCCATCAAACAACCCACACAAGCCGGAACCGAAATACAAATGAAATTTATGGTGGTATGTCATATGCAGCCAAAGTTGCGTAACTCTCTATACGGCAGAGGGAACCTCGTACAGTGACTTGGGTTCCAACTACGTGCGAGGAATACCCGACAGGCAATCAGTGAGTAGTGCTATGGTTTAGAGAAATAAGACCAAGACTACTTGGCGACATTCTAAAAGGCAACCAGGTTCTAACGCGCAATACCAATAGCGAACCCCAACTATTAGCGTTAATACGAAAACTTAAATCTAGGTCCTGAAGAGCAACACCAGTAGCGAACCTCAACCACTAGTGTTAATGCCAAAATTTGACCATCAATGTCATACCACCCCTAAATATGAAGGAAATAACCATAAAAAAAGAAGAGAAAATAAAAACCAACCTCAATGTGAGCGATCATCAAGTTTTGTGGCAAGCTGATCACTCACATGGAAGTATGCCCCCAAACTAAACACCACGAGGCAACAACATACAACAATGAGAGACGGTCAGTAATTTATCTAGCTGACACGGTGAGTACAAAGCAATTGAAGATTACTTTGCACTAACACTTGGTGGACTTTTACCACCTCCAGAATACTGAACAGAAGTATTCTTTTCAACCTCAATGTGAGCGATCATCAAGTTTTGCGCCAAGCTGATCGCACACTCCAAGGTACGCCCCTATCTGTAGGGCGCGATGACTAACATAAAACAAACGCAACCAACAAAAAAACCAGAGAAAATGAAGAAACAACCAAAACGAGCGACACAGCCATACCATCAACAAGGAGAAAGGAAAAACTACAATCACTCGCCAAGTCTGAAAAAAAAATCCGCCACTCGCGACATCAGACTCGCAATCAGGATGATCCGAGTACACGGGCTTCAAATCCTGCACACGCCAAACGCCCTTACCAGTGCCAGACTCATCCTCAGTTTCCATTTCTCCTGCAGGCATACCACAATCGCGCAGACCGCAAATGTTGTTTCTTATCAGATCCAACACGGACACTCAAAAAAGTCTAACACAAAACACTCACAAACGAGAATCAAGTACCAACAATATCCAATCAGTCGATAGTAACATTCCATCATTAAAACTCAAACAAGTGAAGAGAAAAATAAATCGCAAATATCGCATGGCCAATCCTAAAATATCGATTTTCAACTTTAAACAAAGTCAAGCAAATAAAATTAAAGAAATTCAAGAAAAATTCAAATAGTAGTAGATAAATAGTTCAAACCAACAAAGTAGATTTTATCGCAAACATTCCAGCGGCCCAGACAAGTATTTCAATGTATTCGAGGTAACCAGAATAAATTTAGAATTTTGTGAAATCTCTAATATTCAAGCCAAAAATTAAATTAAATTATTTTAAATGGTAAATATTTCGAGTTGTTCAAGTGCAACTCAAGGTTAAGGAAAAAAAATCGTTCAAGGTATTCGAAAATAACTGCGCCACGACAGGCAATAGCAAAACTGAATACCAAACGGGATAGCAGACGGTTTTCGAATTCGAAAAAAGATGCCCCACGTTGGGCGCCAAATTGCAACACGACAAATTTCGGACAGAACAAAAGAATAAAAATCAACCTTTAATGAAAACTATTTAATTAAGACAATGATTTAAATGACAATTTAATAGAGAGAGAAAAAAATGGTGTGCGTCACGGGACGCTCGACAGAAGTGATAACTTCATAACTTAATAGAAGCCATAAAATATTGAACTTGTTTAACGCATGATGGCAATCATAATTTTATTTTATAATTTTAGTATTCTTGTTTAGGCTGATAATTTATAAATGGATCAGGAATAGGTAAAACGTAATTTAATTTCCTTTGGAATGTAAAATATATTTTTTATTTGCAACATTTGCATTGCAAAGGAGCAAAAAGACAACGGCACGCGGTGTTCCCAAGCGGTCACCCATCCAAGTACTAACCGCGCCCGACGTTGCTTCACTTCGGTGATCGGACGAGATAGATAGATAGATAGATAAAACATTTATTAATATTTACATTATATACAGACATTAACAGATTAACAACAATAACAACAAATGACAGGAGCAAGCCCATGTCAGCGCATGGCCAGATGGTCAGCCAGTTGCTTCTCTGCCTATAGTTTAAATGGGCGGGAAGTAGTCCAGTACCTGGGCAGAGCCCTTACAAGGACATTCGCGGATTCGCAATCGCACGAAAACGTGAGGAGATAATCTTTAAATGGCGACTTTTCTTTCACTGGAAGGGCATTTATTGAGGAAAAAAGGTCTTCCAGAAGGGAAGCCAAAAACCCCTGTTGCTTCGACCTTTAAATTGATACTATCAGCCGTGGCCTTTGCCGCAGGCAGTAAACGATTTTATGACCTAGGCCACGCCCTTCGCTCTAACCGGAGCAAGCCTTGCACCGACCAAAACAAAAGAGCTAGGTTTCA